GCACTCAGGATGCTGAGAGTCACGTGGGGGCAGGCACGGCCCACAGCTAGAGAATGTGTGCACTCAGGATGCTGAGAGTCACGTGGGGGCAGGCACGGCCCACAGCAAGAGAATGGGTGCACTCAGGATCCTGAGAGTCACGTGGGGGCAGGCACACAGGGGGACAGCGGGTACAGGGAGCAGGAGGAAGGAGAGAGAGGGGGCCAGGCCTATCTTCATCCACCATACATACCAAGGATAGTCATTAGAGTTCTATAGGATTTTAAACACAAGAGAAAGTTAACCACACTTGAATTTTAGAAAGAATATTTTCACAACACAAAGATAGGCAGATTAGACTTAAGGTAGAAGAAAAGTTCCAACAGAAAACTTCAAACAATGAAGACAGGCTAATGCCCTCAAACAATGGCTAGAGCCATTCGCCCTGCTTATTTTCTTGAGAATGATAAACGTGACATAAAATACACCAGAAGGACACTTAGTACATGATATAGTAAGGGATCTATCTTTCAGATATGCATCTATGTAAAATGTATTTAATATACAAAAACATACAATGCATTAAAGCAGACTCATGAGAACACATGAAAACGTTTGTAACTTGACAGTCTGAGTGGACACAGCACGACTGAGACCTGGGAAGACTCGCTGACCCACCTTATCAGAGCAGTTGACTTTAGCACCATTTTGCAGTAGAAGATGCACTATATCCGCGTGGCCTCTCCCTGCTGCCCAGATGATTGGGTACACACTGTACTGCTGAGAGAGACGGACAGGCAGACGGGGAGGGTGGGGAGAGAGGCAACAAGTGAAGAAGGGAGTGAGGGAGAGAAGGAAAGAAAATCTTTTAGATGGATATTCAACACGCATTTGCTACGCAAAGTAAATACCAAAAGAAGTAACACAGAGTAGTACTTTTTAAAAATCAAGTTACAAACTATTCTCCGCTTTAAAAACACACATAACACTCATAATACATAAATAGTAACTAAGATGCACCCAACCTTAAATAAACATATTATGAACACAATTATAAATTCAATACATTAAAATGTGATTATCTAGCCAATAGGCAATACTAATTAGAAGAAAGTAATATAAGAGAAATGTGAATATATATAACAGAATGTATAGGAAAATAGCATGGTTATTTGGTAAATAAATGTCTGTTAGACATTATAAATAAATGTTTTCTTTAAGGAAATTCAGGTTAAGGATGCACAACTCAAAAAAAAAAAAACCAGGAAGATGACTAAGGATTTCACAATCTCTTTCTGAAATGTTATATAGTTAACATTTAAGGCCTACGTGCTGCATGTTAACAAAAAATGAGAACTTAGCATGAGAAAAAAAATTCTCATTATTGTATCAGGAAATGTGGTTCAGGAAAGCACATGCTAATTATTATTATTTAATAAGATACATTAAATTTCTATCCACTTTGAAGTCAAGGATAATCAGCCTTAAGTATTCCCTAAGAAAACTTACCATTTATATTACAAATGAATTTTTATTGACACTTACCAAACCAGTCACATTTGGATTGGCACCGTGAGAAAGCAGCAACGCGGCCACATCGGTGCGGCCTTTGTAACAGGCCCACATGAGAGCCGTCCATCCTCCCTGGGGACCAGAGAGGGAGAGGGAGATAAAACTGGGGATCACGTTCATGCTGTGACTATCTTTATCAACCAATGTTTTATGAAGGTAATGCCATCCAGGTTTTTTTTTTTTTTTTTTTTTTTAGAGACAGAGTCTCACATTATCGCCCTCGGTAGAGTG